TGTCTGCTACTTCCTTCCATGATGCCCTCTGGAACTTTTGCTTTGTGACCAACATTACCTTATAATTTCCACTTCTGAGTGGTCCCTCCAACCTCTTTCCTCAGTGGAAACCTGGATCTCCCCTGATGGCTCGCTTCCTTTGTACTTTCAAATGGATGCTTTTGTTTTGTTTGTAAATATTTGCATCCCTTTCATACTTCAAGGCCAGAGAATTAGTGTTCTCCCTGGTTTCTATCGTCACTTCTAGAACATTATTTCTCTACCCTGTTGTAAAAAGCAAGCAAGCCAACAAAATTTGTTCTCAGTCCCTGATGTTTAAATTATGTTACACTATTGTCATTGAGTACTCTCCCACTAAGTTACTGGAGATAACACAGCAGCTATCGTGTGTTGTAAATCCTGCCATAATTCTGAGTGACTTCATAACAACATAAATGTCCATTCAACACTCTGACTTCTGACTTTTTTTACCTCCTTTCATCACCAGACATATCCCTCTACTGCCACACATTACCATGATTATAAGCCTTGAATTTTGTCATCACCCATAACTTCTCTCCTTCCAAAATAGCTCATTCACGTACACCACTCTCTAACCACAATCTCTAATCTTATCTCCTGATCATCCAGTTCTTTGACCCTTCCTCTCTATCCAACCCATCACTTCTCTCTTCTTTTCCTCCAACATAAATTACATTAGAATCACACTCTTGTTCATATCCCAAACTTCCTTGTATTTATGACTTTTTCTTTTACCTTCTATAACATTTCAGTCCTACATGAATTCAACATCTTCCTTATTACCTGCATGCCAGCAGTCTAATTGTTCTGGACCAAATGCTTGTGTTTCCCCCCAATTCATACATTGAGGTTTTAATTCCCACTGTGACGATATTTGGATATGAAACTTTTGGAAGGTAATTAGGGTTAGATGATGTCATGAAGGTAGTCCCTCATGATGGAATTAGTGACGTTCTAAGAGATACCAGCAAGCTTGTTCTCTCTCTTCACCCGCTACCTTATCCTCTGCACACGAAGAAGTCAGGCAAGCACACAAGGAGATAGCAGCCACCTAGAAGCCAAAAAGGGAGTCCTCGTCAGATATCAAATCAGCCGGCACCTTGATCTTGGACTTCCCAGCCTCTAGAACTAGGAAAAATAAATCTCTATTGTTTAAGCCACCCAGACTGTGCAGCCGGAGCTAAGACACTAACAATTTGGAAGAAAGTTACGCAATAGAGTGGACGTGTCTTGTAAATTCATCATTACCAATCGTAAATGAGTTCTTACACATTGATCAGGAGTCCTAAATTTTATTAATCAACTTATTCTGCTATTCACTAGAAGAAGTATAAAACTTTCTGCCAGTGACATTAGCTTTTATTTTCTAGATAAAGCAGAAGCCAACAGAAGGGACACTCTGGTCTTTCTAATAATAAAAAATCAAAACTACTTACATCTGCACCCATACTTCCATCATTCTCTCTCATTACAATTGAGAATTGGTACCTTTAACCAAAGTTCAATACGTCCATCTCTGCCTTGAATCCCATTGCTTTTCTATGTTCTCACTTCCAATGATTTTTTTCTCTCTCTCTTGTTTTACTAACTTTTCCCTCCCAGTAGAGCCATTCCACCAGCTTTAAAATGTGCTCAAGACACTTCCATGAACAGTAACAATACAATAGGGATAAAATTCTAACATCCTTCAGCTCAACATTCCCCAACGTCACTCCTCTTTTTTTCTCTTCAGTTCACAACTATTTAACAATTAGGTGATTCTTACTTCTTACTTATGCTCTTACTTGCTTCTATTTGTCTTCTGTCTTCATTTTTCTACTGAAATGGTGCTTATTGATCTGTGTATATAAAGGAAATTAGCTTTTTGTCCATGATATGCGTTTCATGTAAGTTTTCTCAGGCCATCATTCTACTTTAGCTTTTGTTTGTGGATAAACTTGTTTTGCAGTTTTTAAAAAAGTTTGTGTTTTCAGTTTTATCACTCTTTTCTGTATGGCTGCTGGGTTTGGTTGTACTTAGTCCACTTCTTTGACATTAAAGTAAGCAATGGCTTGGTAATATCTCTGGTTTATAGCTTTTTAGGTTTGAGGACATTTTATATGTTATAGTTGTAATTTTGTCCTTTCTAATGAGGAGAAAAAGGAGGTTGGGAAAATGGTGAATGAATATGGTCTTCCCATTTGGTTCTACAGAATTCTTATAAATTTGGCATCTACAGTTTTCATTATTTTTATTGTGAGTTTTCCCCCATCTTAGAATAAGTTTTGTGCACATGTCTGGTTAAATAAAGTGAAGAATTGCAATAGGTACCAAAAGAAGTTCAATAAGTAGTGTGAAAACTCATGTGGTTCTATAGTAATATTATACTTTGTACTGAGTATAATTAATTATCTGTAGAATAATAACTTAAAGAAAGAATGTGACCCAGGACATATTGTTCAGGATAATTAAGAAATAAGCTTTATCAAATAAGGCCCCCATGTGGCAGTTTAATGACACGCTGTACATTAAAAAAAGGGGGTCTCTTTTTAAGGTAAAATCTTGTTTAGCAAGTACCAATGTCAACTGAGTCTGGTAGATTTGAAAAATAACATTATTACCTTTATCATCTAAGATGGAGCTTTACTAAGTCTTCAGTCAAAAATATAAATTTGTAAGACCAATAACATGAATATGTACTTGAGGCTAGAAACTAATTTTGAGAATAATGACACCTCTCTTTTCTCTATTTGACGTGATCATTTGGCTTTGTTTTCTTGGTAAGTGCTTCAGACTTGTGTGTTCTTTCTCTTCCCCAGGACAAAGCAGCCTGGGTGTCTAGGAATTTTCTTGATAGTTGATGGCTTTCTACTCTTCTCCCTATGTAGTTTTAATTTGTTAAAACAATAACAATTTCAATTTAAGTAGTATTTGTCATTGCCGGTGCAAGGATTTTGCCCAGACTGCCTGCCTAGCCAGTGCACCTGTTTTCTGGTGGCTACTTCTACATTCAAACTTTTAGGGTAGCAAGAGACAAGTTAAGCTGGAGCTCCAAGAAGTGTAATCCTTCTTACAAGTCTCTATGTTTGGGAATAAGTTCACTGGCCCAGAAAACACTCCTGCTTTTAATGGTGAAAGGTAAAATTTAAAGTCTGTCTAAATTATTTTCTTATAATTTTAATATATGCATATTTATTGTAGTAAATTAAGACCTTTTTTCCCTGCTGCACAAACTTATATTCTGTTGTGATTAGACTTAGTAGCTGAAAAAGCTCAGTCTTTGCTGTTGATGATTTTAAATAGAAATTTAAAAATTTTTACAACCTCAGAAGTTAGTAATCTACAGTGTGATTATACCAAATTCTGTATTTTAAAAGCATTCAACATAGAGTCTCTAATTACCTCCTGTGGTACTTTGTATGATGTACATGAAACATGGAGATGGCTACACTAAACTCCATTCTTTGACAGAAAATGCAAAACCGGAGGTAGAAGTTATCTGGATTTTGGAACAAGCAGAACCAAAATTTCAGTAAAATAATGCCAAAAGTGACTTCAAATTAAATTTAATAAGCGTTCATTGAGAACCTGTTCTATGGGCAGCTCTGTGTTAGGTAGGCCCCACAGGGATAGTAGTAATAAAGGATTTCACTCTAAAATCTGGGCTCATTGATGCAAAGTGAGGTGAACGGGCCGATTTGGGTGAGGGCCGGAGAACGCGGGACCCGAAGGTAGGACCTCCCCACTAGTAAAACTGGGGCGGTGGAGCTCTAGAAAAGTGGGCCCCAGGTTCTGAGCACACGTGACGAGAGCGGCACTGCCAGCCTCCGTTAGGGAGCAGCTGGCGGAAGGCCAAACTGCCCCAAGGCTCACCGCCTCCCGCGCAATTCCGGGGTCACTGCCCAGGACGGTAGAAGCAAGCAAGGAAAAAACCTGTATACTTCACCCCGCTCGTTCTTACGTGGGCAAGTCAGTCCAGGCTTCAGGCAGTGCTGGGAAATAGGGTAGGAACGACACGGCCTGGAGGGTCAAGAATTCCACCCCCAGATGCCCCGAGAGGGACGTTCTACGGGCAGTTTCCCTACGTGGGTTATTTGCCGCTGTTTATCCGTCCAGGGGAGAGCATTAAGACAGAACCCCACTTCCTTCCTTGGAAGTCAGGCCCTGGGGCCAGGTGTGAGAGCCGGCGCTGCTGCATTCCTGGCGCTGAAGCGAGGAATGGCACAGAATTTGGGAGTCGGCTTCCGGGACAGGACAATGGTCAGGAGTTTAAAGCTAGAGATCTCAGCCGTTATGCCAGGCTACAGGTAAGAGTCAGCAACCAGCTCAGATCGCTCCGGGTCTCCACATCTCACAATCCCCGAGCAAACAGCCGTGCCGTTTCCCTGCGTGCGGGCTGTCAGCACCAAGCAGGTGGTGAGCGCGAGCCCGGCGTCTTGACAGCTGCCCACGCGCCGGGGCGGAGCTCGAGCGTGTCACTTTAAAGGCCCGAGCGGCCGGACCCGCCCCCTAAGTCCCACTATTGGCTCCAGGTGGGTTGGCGTGGGCCTGATAGGTGCAGGAGGGTGGGGCTGCGCGCGCGGGGTCCGGGGTCTCACCGCCGCGGCCCGGGCTGGGGAGCTAGTGGCAGCGGAGTGCGGGTGGCTGGGCGTGTGGGGTTGGCGGGCACGTGCGCGCGCCGGCAGCCTGGGTCCCGCGGGAGCAGCGGAGCGCCCGACCCTGAGCAGCTCGCGCAGCCCGGCGGTCGGCGGCGCGCGCGCGGGCGAGGGGGTGGTACGTGCGTGTGTGCGCGTGAGTGTGGGTGAGTGTGTGTGAGTGTGTGTAGCTCCGGTGCGGAGCGTGAATCGTCAGTTCCCTGTGCGAGTTCCCTGCCGCCTTGCACATCCCCCCTCTGTCCCCACAACTCCACGGTCGCGTACCGAGTGAGAGCCCGGGGAGCGAGGGGTGGGGGGAGCGGGCAGGGTCGCACGAAACAAAAGGGGCGCGGGGGTCAGCCTGCCATGGCCTCCCGGAACCTGGGGGGCAGGAGCGGGAGCCGCGGCGGGGGCGGCGGGGGCGGCGCCGGCGGCAAGAAGAGCCTGAGCGCCCGCAATGCTGCGGTGGAGAGGAGGAACCTGATCACCGTGTGCAGGTACGGCTGGGCCCGTCGTTCAGGGTGATGGGAGGGGGCTGCCGGCGCCGCCGGCTGAGGGCTTTGGGCGAGCTCGCGAGCCCAGGTGTTCGCTAGACAACCGAGTGTAGCTCCGTGCCCCAGTCTTTGCCGGGCGTGTCCCCGGGTCCAAGCGTCTCCAGACGGGCCGGGGTCTGGGTACCGCTGAGGCCCGGACTTTCTGGCAGTTCCAGGGCTAGAAGCAGCCCAGGTTACGGCTTGGGGCGGGGCTGGGGAAGGATTTGTTTTGAATGTGCATTCTAGAGCCAGAGTAAAATAGGTGGACAAGGGAGGAAGAGCTCTTTTATTTAGTGCATGTTTAGCTGTCAGCCAGCTTTTGGTAAAGTACTCGTTACTGTGGTTATTTACTGGGTTGCCTCAGAATCAGAGTGCATTCTGTTTTTGTTTTGGCATGTTTACATATATATTCACCCATTCATGCCACAGATATGGAGTGCCTACTACATGCCAGCCATGTGTGTTTCCGTGTGTATGTACGTGTTTCCTCTGCACTTTAAATTGCAATGCTAGTGCTGTTTCTGCCGTTGTTATCAAGAGTGAGACGGTGGAGGATACCTAGTCTGTGTTTCAGTGGTATATTACAAGGTCTGCCTTTTCTTAACCGTTTTCTAATTGCAAATGGAGGTTTTTGTTTTTGTTTTTGTTTTACAAAATATAGAAACATAAAAGGAATAATTACTATCTATAAAATGAATTGCTGTCTATAAAAGGAATGATTACTGTCCATAACTTTTTAAAATATGCTGATATATTTAAGTCTTATTTCTGAGTATTAAAAAAATTGAAGTTCTAGACATCCATGTCTTAGGAACCTCTGAACAATTAAGTTGTTTTAAATTTACTGTACTTTGTTCAATCAAACCCTCATCGTACTCTCTAAGCCATCAATAATCCTCTAAGAATCAGAGAATGATGAGACCTTTTCCTCCTTTGCAATTCATGTCTGTATTGTTTTCCTTTTCTTTGTGTAAAAATGTGTGTAGCATCTTAAGCAGAATACAGATATTGAGCCCAGGACGTGTATTTAATAACTCGGAGTGCCTTTTTGTTTTTTAAGTTGGACTATTGCAAATGTTCGCCTTTCTAGCAGAAACACCTGCCTCACTGACTGTTACGGTACTTGGGTTGTAAACAATAACATTGTATCTGTTTAATTTACCATTTGAGCTGTCTGGGATGCAACCTTATTTAAGGAAGATCGGCTGTATTAATTTTTAACCTAGGAAAATATTTTTAAGTTAGGTAAATAGAACAATTTTCTTACATTTATTTTACAGATATTAAAAATACTTAGTTTTTGGTTTTTTTAAAAATAAGATTGTCTCAAGCAGGCTCTAACATATACAGTGTTTCTTGGGGTAATGTGTTTCGTAAAAGCTTCATCAGAGTTAAACCTCACAGGGCAGCAAACTTGGGCTTTTTGCTGAGCCTTTTAAAAAAATTCTTCCTACTATAGCATCTGACACTCAGTAAATAGTTACTGAGTGAATAAATTCGGTGGTTGGTACTATTCCTTTTGCTTCTCCATTTTTTGTCATGACTAATTTTAGGTGATTTAATGTTCATTTGCTCCCTTTTCAGAGGGAGTTTAGGAGAAGAAAGGGACTTGTATATCAACCTTATTTAAATTACATTTTAAGTGATGTTTAAGAAATTGCAGTCACTTCACGCTGATTTGTGTGGACAGCTTTCTGGGCTAGCTGTATTATTATTATTTGCATAATTCTTTTCTACTGTGAAATGAATATAAGTGCTGCCTTTAGTTACATATAATTTTCGTATGGTATCTAAAATAAATTTTAATTTCTGGCTTAGATTTCAACTTGTGTATTTATTTATGTGGATAATATTACTCATGCTGTTTTTATGGCCAAATAGTTGATGGTGCATATAAATTATCATCCATGTCTAGTAATGGGATCTATTTGATAGGCTTTGTCTAAAAGGCTTTTACTTTTTGGAAACAAGTCACTGTGGGCTATTTGGCTGTTTTAAGTAGCCCCACTTCAAATTCAGCAAAATGAACAAATCAATATTTTTTCATTTCTGTTCCTTTCTCTCCCTTTCAGAATTACTAAACTCTTGAGTATCTCATCCATCCCTCTTAATGAGTTCATTTAAAGTTTTTTACATATCAAGTCAGAAGTTTTAATATTTATTTTTTATAGTTTTTCTCTTTTAAAAGATTTTATTTATTTATTTTTAGAGAGAAGGGGAGGGAGGGAGAAAGAGAGGGAGAGAAACTTTGATTGATTGCCTCTTACACACCTCCAGTCAGGGTCCTGGCCCATAATCCAGGCCTGTTCCCAGTCAGGGAACCAAACAGGTCACGGTTAGGTTTGCAGCTGGTGCTTAATCCACTGAGCCACACGAGCCAACGTGAGGGTTTTTTATTTAAATTGAGAAGTTGGTTTAGTGGAAATATAATTGAGTTCTAAGTTTACTTTTTAAGAATAATCTTATGTCTCTTAACAAGCTCTGAAGCCTTACCATTTTCCAGTTTTCTCATCTGTAAAATAACCTTGGACTAGATCATTGCTAACCTTCAACAGCAGTCCTAAAACTGATAATAAATGGTCTTCAAGCAAAATGTGTTCATATTTGGTTTTGAATTTCTATAAATATAAGCAAGGTAATGGTAGACATATGTTTAATGGTAGATAGATGAGGCGTGTGCATCATTGTCTGTAAAAAAAAAATTTCATTTTGTAATTTTCTGTTGATGTTCTGGAAAAATTGAACAGTTTACAAAAGCAAACTCCCCCCCACACCATATGCTATCATTCTAGCATATCTATTAATATGTATACAGTAATGCTTTTCCTTACTCCTTAAACAATTTGGGCATATTCTCAATTTAGGTTTAAAATTTTGATATATAACCATACAGTTCTTTAGGTTTAAAAACATCTTATACAAGAAAAATATTGCTAGAACTCACTTTCCCTTTCTACCAAGGACTGAAGACTGTATTTCCTGTCCTGGAGCTGGAGCTGAAACGCTGACTCCCTGTAGCAGACAAGACTGGAGCAGAACTATCTAGCTGGAAAGGGCCTCGCTCCAGGGCTTCTTTGCCTCAGGGCCTCCTCACAGAGGCGTTCCATAGCAGAGCCGTTCTCACAGCCCTGTGGGATCACAATTGAGCTGTTTGCATGGAGTGAAGTTTCCTTTTTCACTACACTCCAAACTGGGGATTCCTGTTGGTGTTGAATTGGTTCCTATGGCCATTCGTTGACAGTTCTGATAGTATTTGGGTGGGATCTTTAGGGGTCTGTCTATATAGTATCCTGTCATCTGCAAATAATGAGTTTTACTTCTTTGCTGGCAATTTGGATGCCTTTTGTTCCTTTTTCTTGTCTGATTGCTGTGGCTGGTGAAGGTCACATTCTTAGAACCACCTGAACAGTGGCTACAGCTTGGTGCTCCCAGGCGCTGCTGGGGATACCATGTGCCAGAGAACCTCCAAAAAGGCAGGAGCAAGAGCTAGGCAGGGTCTAGTGGTAGAGCCACAAGGGGCAGGTGGGCCTTGGGATGGGGGTAACAAGCTGAGGGTGGCATGAGGGCTGTGGGTCCTGCTCTCCAGGGGCCCAGCCTCTACTACACCCCTCTCCAGTGAGCTACACCCAGAGCATTTCATTTTGGGAGATGCTCCTATAAATAACACGCATTTTTTTCATTTCAAATTCCACTGGTTTATTGCTAGTATATAGAAAAGTGAAGAAAAAAACCCCTAAACAATATTGCTACACTTTAAACTTCGGAGTTAGGTCGTTTGGATAGATAAAATACTCAGGAATTGGATGGAATTGAATTTAGTTGAATTTTGTTTTATTGTGATTGTGTTTGTAATTATTTCTAGTTTTTTCCTAGTGAAAATTTATATATTGTAGACAAAAAACACTTGGATGATACATATCTCAGCACATAAATACAGTTTATCATATTTGTCACAGATTGTGGTAAAGAGAAAATACATCAATTGGAGCCTCTAAGTATTCCACACTCAATTTTAAAATATTCATAGACTGACTTTCATTCTGTACACCAATTAGTATTTCCCCTGCATATTCTCTACCATTTAGAACTATGAAAAATTAAATTGTTAAGGTCCTTCAGGCATTTTTTTAAAACCTCCATTCTTCACCCATAGAAAATCAGGTATTTATTTTTTTCTGTCATTTTTAAGCTTCAGAGGTTATTGAAAAGCTAACATACTCCTTTGCCAACAGAATTAAAATATAAATTCTCTACGGCTTAACATTATTTTATGAGGAAAGCATTAAAATGCATATGCTTAAATATGTGTGCATAAACGAATTTAAAAATTAAATTTGTTAAACTCTTCATACTTTAAGAGAAACTCCTCACACAAAGCCATGGTCTTCCCATCTTGTGGCTAGAGGACTAATGAGCGATTTAAGGAGACAGTGTGATGAGCTAAGCAGAGTGGACAAAAATGATGATTTTAAAAATAAAATAGCTGTTCTTAGTTTTCTATTGGGCAAGTTGTTATTTCATAGTTTGAATATTATTTTAAATAACAGTAACACCTCATTTTCCCAGTGTAGCCCAAGATTGAGGTGCTCATATTTTCCATGTAGTTAAAGTTTGGGTTAAGGTTTAAAATTCTCCCATCAACTGTGGTGTTTTACCCAGCACTTACTGTGGAGTGCAGTCTTCTGTGTCACTGAACTGAACCTTCCAATTTAAGTGTTCAGATTTAAACTACAGTAAACAATAATATTTTAAACATCTTGGATGAATTTCTTTGAGGAAAGGATTACACATTTCCACACCCTCTTTATAAAGACCGTGTCGCATAATATAGTCCTTGTTGATAACCTTACTCTGGATCTGTTTCTGTGAACATGTCCTGTGCAGTGGCTGCCCTTGGAGATTCTTGAGGTACAAAGAGCTCTTTGCTATGTGACCCCAAAAGACTGTGTTTGGAATTCATATGC